AMMAAAAAAAAAAAMAAAAAAAWRAAWAAAAAARATAAGAGGAAAAAAAGTAAAAAAAGTAAAAAAGGGATAGTAAAGTTAGGAAAGTCGTAGATCGTGAAGCGTAACTGGCGAAATATAAAGCACCTCGCACCTTTTTCCGCCCTACGTTCAGCCATGTTTTCAGCCAGAGAAGAGAATGCGGAGGAAAGAATCGTTTCTCCTTCTTTTCTCTTTCTCTGTTTCTTTAGCAAAAGAAGGCTGTCTCGAAAGAGGGAACCCGTTCATTCGTCTACGTCTTTGCGTTCCAACGGATCTCTGCGTGTTTTGCATCCGGCACTTTTCTTCAGACTCTCACGATGCACCTAATGCATCGAGTTCCTGTTCTCTCTCTCTCTCTCTCTCTTTCTCAAGTTAGATTCGATTTTCTTTTCCTTTCTTCTACTTATTCTTTCTGTTTTTTTTTTCTTTCTTTTTCTTCGTCTTTTTCTTCGTCTTTTTCTTCTTTTTTTGTCTTCGTCTGTCTCCGAGATCTTCTTTCATCTCATTCCAACCAACGGATGTTTTCCTCTTGTTGGATTTTCCACATTTGTTTACTTCCCATTCCTCTATATCCATTCTCCAATCGTATTTCCTTTCGTAGATATGCAGACGGAGACGCGATCCTCCTCCGTACCTCCAAAGAGGGAGTAGAAAACCGTAAAAATATTTTCTTCCCATTCGTTGAGAACGCGTCTCGACGCGTTTGTCTACTTCTCGTTAGATTCATCTTTCTACGAATGGATCGGAACAAATCTGGAGTAGATGTAGAAGAAAAATAAAATGTAAACTACTTGTCGGTGATTGGAAAATTCGTATAAATGAGCTACCGGTATTTCATCGTTTCTTTTTCTGTTTTTTATTTTTTTTTTATTCTTTCAAAATCTACATGCGCTGTGCTTTCAAATTCATTACATTTGAAAGTGGGTTTTGCATGAGAAATCGAGATTAACAGAAGGGGAAGAAAGAGAGAGGAAAGCTCTTTAAATACTCGGTAATGAGCTCTCTCGCTTTTCCTATATCGTAACGACTCGTTGAATCGGTACTCGTCGTTGGATTAATTCCAACGAACTTTAAAGCTGCAAGCCGACGGTAGTGGTTCCACGCGAGAATCACCACCACCGCAAGCATACTGGCCCGAGAGCTTGTATCTACGAGCTGGAGGAAAATGAGGAAGAGGAGGTTTTGCCGTATATATACGTACTAAGACATGTTTGAAAATTCCAAAGCTTTCGGTGTTTGCTTTCATTTGGCAGGTAGTCACAGAAACGTCTCTCGATGGACATGAAATTCCATTCACTTTTTCTCCTCTTCATATTCTTTATCGATCGATTGTCATTAAGCTCAATAAGCTTTGTCTCTATCTATACGTATCTCTGTGTGTGTTTGAACGTGCTTTTGGCGAAAGGATGCCTCGGTAAACTTGAAAGAGAAGGCTAATTTCGAATACGGAGGAGGAGTTCGGAAATATTCCCATTTACTTGGATTACAAAATGGCAAGATTAATTGTTTTATCTCGTTCCATGTTAGCCAAGTATGCCTCTTTCTCAAGCATTTCCTTTCTTGATAGTAACCACCTTGATTCTCCTTTGATTAATTATTCTCATTTTCTGGGATACCCTTAGTCGTGAACAACTCTACGTTACCAACGACGATTATGTTGGAAATGGCACATTTCGATTGACATCTGTGAATTGAAACCTTCATCACTTCTCTTTCTCTTTTTAGGACTTTCTCATAAATATCTTCATTCCATCTTCCAATCATCATAGACATTTAAGGTTTATCGTTGAAGAGAAATGAGATTTTGACTCGAACAATTACCCTACTTCTGTTGCTTTTTTGAATATTTGCGTTGATTTTACATATAAGAGACCTTGTATTACTATGTTGAGAAATATATTCACATCTACATATGCAGAGAACGTGAGTGAGTGAGTGAGTGAGTGAGTGAGTGAGAGAGAGAAGGAGAGTTTGCGAACGGACGTACGGCAAAGTTCACCACGAAGTGCATGGCGAATTAGTGCATAAATTAGGATCGTGTGAAAGCACCGTTCCCTATCCAGTAAGATCAGAAGGAAGGGGAGATAGCTGTTACGACGTTAAGGGATCCCTTACTCATTATCGGTGGCTCGTCGAATACGCGTTTAATTATCCATTGCATACCGGCAAAGTATCGAACTTTGCTTGGTTTGTTAACAAATGATAATTATTCGATTATCGATATGATTCGGAATTTCTTCCGGTATGAAATATTTATTTAATAAAAGTTTAATGTTGTCGAGATTTTTAATATTTTCTTTTCATTATATTTCGTTTAATTTATCGACAATCTATCAATATATATCGTTAAATATAAGTCCTTTCGATTAGACCTGTTCTTTTATCTATATAGAAATAGTTCACCTTCTTCTTCTTCTTCTTCTTCTTCTTCTTCTTCTTCTTCTTCTTTTTCTTCTTCTTCTTTCTCGATAGAGTTTGTATTTTTCTTGGATAAAACTCGCACGAAGTAAAAGAAGTAGAAGAAGGAGTAGTAATCAAGGGAAGGTGAAAAACGTCAGTACACGAGTTACGTCAAATTTACGAAGAGAACTAATTAGAGAGAAGAGAGAGTCTTTTCTCTCTGAAAGGGAAGTAAGATCGATCGTAAGTTTATTTTTAGTTTTAAACGATTGGAAAGTCGTTGACCAGGAAGGATGAAAAGCTTCCAATAGATCGATTTTATTCGGATGATAAAAATAAAATAAAAGTCTGACTCGTGCATATGTTCGCGCATATATGGAAATCTATTGAAATCGTATACTCGCTAATTTTACGTAACAACTTTTCAATCGAAGCGACAGTGAAAGTTCTCACTTTTTTTTTGTCCTTGTCATTCGGCAATTTAAAATAAAGAGGTTGAAATGAAGAAGAGATTTTAAGAACACACATATAACGATCGTTCATCGACGGAACGAACGTTTCTCTCGAGGGTCAGGAAATGGAGCATGTGAGAAGGGTTACTCACCTGACTGGGACTGCAAACTGCGCCATCGGCAAGGCGACAAGGTATCTCATGAGGGACATGATGGAGCCGTTGAGGGTGGCAACAAGGATCATTGCAGTCCTCCTCCCATCCGCAATCGCACTCCTCACCCTCTTCCACTACGCCGTTTCCGCAAATGGCCGACTGAGGCTCTGTGGGATCATCGATTATCGAGAAGCAACCTTACCATCTACATCCTCTAAGTTTTCCTTCAAATCGAAGGAAAAGGGCTGGGGGTTGGAAGGGGGGGGAAACGCGAGAGAAATAGAGAAAGAGAGAGATAATGATGGTGTTCCGAGTCGTCTGATAAGCGTTGATAGTAGTAAGAAAGCAACCGAAAGATAAAGAGAGAGAGGGAGAGAGGGAGAGAATTTATCTCTCATTTTCTCGTTCTGCTTCACTATCTTTTAAGATCGTTCTTGAAGTTGTTATTCATGAAAAAGTCGTTTGCCAGCTATGGACTTGGAACAATGGGCAAAATTATCGACGGCTATCTATTCGGTTTTTCTTCATTTTCTTTCTTTTATCTTTTACATTTTCTACCCTCTCCGTCAGCTTTTGCACTTTTCTTTTTTTTCCTTTGGTATTAAAAATTTGTTCACGTCGTCGGTAGCATTTATTCTCTTAAGGAATCGTAGCTCTTATTCGTACGTAATTTTCGATGCCTGAACGATAATTAACCAACCAACTAACCCATGCCATCCATTTCCTGTCTTGTGTTCACGTCGCGTCTTCGTGTCTTCTTTGTCCGATAACGAGAGTGATTGTTCCTCGGGGGATCGAAGCGAACGAAAGAAAACGACGAGTTTGACAGGTTAATCGCGTGCTGTTCTGCTGCCGGTACGAAAGGAAGAGGTACGTAAAAAAAATCGAAAGCAAGAGGGAGAAAGAAGGGAAGAAAAAAAAAAGAGGAAAAAATTGTCGGCAAGAAAATCCCGCGCGCATTAAAGCAAATGAGATGTAATAAAGGTTAATCAGTCGGCAGTTTTAATGAAATCCTTAGGTTTAATGAAGCTCGGCGTAGGGATCTAGTCTTTCTCGTGGTTTCATGAAATTAATGTTAATCTCGTGTCTTACGCTTTCTACCAATGTTCGTTCTCCCTATACTCGTGTTTTTCTATTTTTTTCTTTTGTTCGATTTCTTTGAAAAAAAAAAAACCAAAAAAAAAAAACAATGAATAATTTGAATGATATTATTAACTATTATTTAGATAAGACGAGATCAAATGTTAGGTTTAGGATATAGGTGTGTGAAGAGAAATGATACTACTTTAGAGATTTTCGTAATAAATCGAGGAATTCGCGATAGAATTTCCTCTGACAGGGGGTTAGTCCGACTTTGTTCGAGTCTCTGGAAGCCGAGGATGAATTCCTCTTTACGTCTCCGTAGCCAAAGTAATGTGAGATTGTAAAAGGCACGGTAGGCACGTCGACTATGCGCTACGCAACGCGAATCCCCTTTTTCGCGGCGATACACATAGGATTCGTTGGGGAATTTTGTACTTTGAAGGCTCTTTGCAGCGGCACTTTAGCGATTTCTCTCTCCTTGATTGCTACCTTGTTCTCTCAAAAGTCTTTAAACGGAGTACTCAAACTGATTCGTATTTCTCTCTCTATCTATCTCTCTCTCTCTCTCTCTCTCTCTCTCTCTCTCTCTCTCTCTATAAAGGATTCGTTAAGCAAGATTTCATGGATTTCAAACTTTATGTAATAATTATGTGCTATTACTTATATTACTTTAATTATATCAAATGATTCTTTTTATAATTGAAATTATTTTTGCCTGCATACAAAAATGATATAACGTGAAAGTTAGTCAACGAGGATTACCATTTCCCCGTGAGATCACTAAAGTCAAGTAACGTGGGCACCGTTAGTAATGTGGATGGTTGATGCGTTTGGAAAAACAAAAACCGTGTGCTGTTGACTCCAGAGAGCCAGTAAAAAGATGCTTTTGATCTTCTTAATAATATTAGATAAGTGTGAGAAATAACTCTAATCGAAAGTTATATCATGGTATAATAATAATACTATATTAAATATCTTTATTTATTTGATTTTCAATCAAATTATTCCGCGAATTAATTCTAAAGAGATTGACGAATTTCATTGGATAGAAAGAGAAGAAAATAAAAGTAAAATTGTTAATTTGCTTTGAAAAGAAGTAGAGTAGATGGGGAGAATGAAATGGTCGATTTCTTCTTCTTTCATCTTTAAGGCAAGGTCACTCGACAGTCCATTACACGCGTCTTTGTCAAGATTAATCGAATGTACCGATTAGAAGAGCAATTTGACTGGGTAGTCGTTCCCACTCGACTCTCTGACGTGCGACTCCGTTTTAATTGAATTCCAAGCTCTCCGAAGCCCCGTTCCCATCCCTTTTCCATCCCCTTTCCCACCCCCTTTACAATCTCCATTGCATCCTCGACTCGCCATACTCGCACCCTCTCGAGCGTCTACCATCTACTAACATATAACGCATCCTCCTAAAAGCTTTTGCCTACAAAATAGAAGAGTTTTTCTCTGTTTGTCACTCGAAGGGACTCTGTCCGTCTGTAAAAGGCAACCTGTATCTCTTCTCGAATTGCTTTCGAAATTGTTGTTCGTTTTACACCCCTACTCCTGTTCCTGTTCCTTTACCGCTTTCAAGTTTATCGTCGAGCGTTAATTTAATTCATTTGGAAAGCCATTGCGATGACATTCTCTCTCTCTCTCTCTCTCTCTCTTTTTCTTTCTCTATTTTTTGTTTTGTATATTTGATCGAAGAATTTTCTCCGAGTTCTCGTCAAATCGTTTAACGAAAGTGTTTAATTTAGCTTTGAGTTTTTATCGTCGACGGACGTTGATCGAGCAGAAAAAAATAATAACTGACGTTTATTTATTATTTTCAAAGTTACAAAGAAAACGTTGGCGATCGTTAGAACGTGAATTCGTTGATTCCTCGTGTAGAATAATTGTCGTCGTGAGGTAAGTGAAATTACCGGTAAAGGTACACGGTACAGACTACGTTAAATAATTTGACGAGAATTTGTGTTCATCGTCGTTGTATACGGAACACCGACAGCGTTCGTTTCAAGAGGTATTATTCCTCTTTCGTAGTATAGCATAATAAGGAACGGACGAAAGACGAATAGTTTGGAGATAATTGAAATCTTGAAACTTATTGTTGTACTCACCAGCGAAACATCCTTTCGGAGAACGAGCCTTGGTATTTAGGACTGGGTTTATGGAGACGAGACTGCACGGACTGAATCGATTGTTGTTCCGCTTGTCGCCACTCGTAGCCCTTGCGAACATTATGAAATTCCCATCCTCGCCGCCTGGTGAACACTCGTCGGGATCATGCTGTATATGTGCGCGTAAATACATATATATATATATATATGTACATGAGATTCTATTTATATGCATGTGTGTGTGTATGAAAGAAAGTAGGTGGTGAAAAGCGTTTTCGAACTCGTCCGAACTCTACGACCATTTTCCTTCTTTTACTTTCCAACACATAGTTAGACATACGCTAACACATCCCTACACATATACACACAAATGGTCGTAAAGTAGAGAACTCATTTAGAAAGGACCTAAACGCATTTGTACCCGTTCCGTGGTCGAATGGAAGTAACGGATGATAACGTTGCAACAAATGCGTCTTCTAAAGTCGCCTTAAAGACTTCATTTACGATCCCGATTTTCTGAGAGTGTGTATACAACCTTGGTTCAAAGTTTTCCACCACAACTCTAAGATTTTAGATAGAGATAAGGGTAGAAAAGGATTTCTTTTTTTTTTTTATTTTCATTACGTATTTTATGAAGATGAATAGATAGAGGGGGAAAAGGAAAGGGAGAATGAAAGAACAAATAATTGCTAGACAAAGTGATTCTGTAGGAAGTGTGAAATAATAAAGGAAAATATCATATGGCATAATACATGCACTTTATTTTTGAATTTAACTAAATTTGGATTCTTTTTAATAAAAGTACTACTCCAAAGTCATCGAAATCTTAATACTTTATAAGATATTTGACATTTTAGATTGTTCAGAATTATAAGTATATTGCAAAGTTTTGATCGAAATAATGTGTATCTTATTACATGAACTTTGAAAAGTTTGAAAAGCTCTCATTCTCGATTTGTAATTCAAGATATAGAAAATCTTACGAGTAACTACGAATAGAAAAGTAATTAAACTTTAAATATTTCTAATCTGTGAATGATATTTAATAGAAATATATTAAGAGTGTTCTAATTTAAGTTTATTTTTATAAATAAAAATTTGTGGGTGTCAAAGAGCAGCCAGTGGAAAAGTCAATGAAATTGTAGACTACGTGTACGGTGACGGTGGGATTATGGTTTTATCTAAAAAAAAAATGGCAAAAGTTGGTCAAACGAAACGGCACGTACACTTGGTTTAATAAACTTCGTTAAAAATATGAACAAAAAGTTGTTGAAGGTTTGGAAAGTCTCATCTTACTTTGCGTATGGAATTGCAGTAGAATGCGCGAAGGACGTCACGCGCATGAACGAGCACGGGTACGTACTCGAAATTGAATTTCGTTGCCACGAGGAAATCACCTTTAAGGGCGGCAAGAAGGTTGAGGGTGAAAGAGGAAGAGGAGAAGCGGAAGAAAACGAAGAGACATTCCGTTCCCGGGGGAAGAATCACTCGATGTGTTTTAGTTCTACTTTCCTTCTTCTCCAAAAACCTCCTCTATCCCTTCATCCCTTTGCTCTAGGAGACGTGGCCTTTGATCGTCGAAGGTCGACCGTCTATGGTCCCTTTATTGCATTCTCTCGACCAAAAAGAATTAGGAAGTTCGATGAATCGAGATTAGACTGAGCAATCGTTGACTTTACTACTTGACGATAAAGGAAAATTTCGCGGAGAAAAAAAAGAAGTTTGATAGGTTAAAAAGTAAGAGGATACAAATAAAATAAAGGAAAGGATTGGAAAGGGAATAAAAGGGAGGAGGGACATTGTCGATTTTATTCGACGTTCTCCGTAGGTAGTAACGATTTTAAAATCCAACAGGAGTCAGCATTTTCGGATATTTTACGAGAGATCCCGATGGGAAGTGACGCCTTTCACGGGGTGATTCGATTTGACGCTGCCAGGGAAATATTCCTCGAGGGGATTACGACGATAGAAAATATACGCTGAGTTATAAGTAGACGGTGGAGAAAGAGGAGGGGGGGTGGGTGGGTGGTTGGGGAGAAGGGAGTAAGACGGTGGTAACAGTAATAGGTTATTCGAGATCTTTTCTTCTTCTTCTTCTTCTTTTTCTTTTTCTTATTTTTCCTTGAATATGATGCGAGGAAGGATTCACGGATTTTCAGTTAATAGGGTCTTGAAATTCTTGCATGACGTCACTCCTCTGTTTCATGGTTCCCCGTGTTCTAACATCGACCGATTAGTAGGAAAGTTAGCGAGCTTGTTCTGTGGTACTCTTTGGTATGAGTCGAGCGAGAAGAGAGGGTGTAGATTCGCTTTCTCCTTGGAATTCGTGATGAGAGAAGAGGGTGCGAGAAACACACGAGATAGGGGTAGGTGAATAGATAGGTGGATAGGTAAGGGGAAGGAAATAAGGTACGATGCACACATCCAGTTCGTCGTCGTTGCCGTTGTCGTTGCCGTTGTCGTTGTCGTTGTCGTTGTCAAGTACAAACGGGACACAATGTTAGAGACAACGCTCTCTTGTAAACTTACAGGAGATCCAAAATTGTGGCCGATCTCGTGTGCAAGGGTAACGTGAGAAACCGTCGGTGGTACGTGCTTCCCGTAGTTGAGTAGGGTGATTATGCCAGTGTTGAGAGATTTCATGCTACCTCTGTAATGCTGTAACGTCAAATTCGTGCTTTTCTTTCATTAACAATTATCTTATCGAATACTTAGTTTCGTTTTAATAATAATTCGATAAAAGCATCAATTAGTACTTTTGTCTCAAATAGAAAATTATACGTACTCCGTTTTTCTCGCAAACACCACCTGCGTTCTTGAGATCACCTGTCCAAGCCAAACCCAGCGTACCCTTTTCGAAATCACGGTAAGTGAACATATAGGAGAGACAAAAGGCATCGTAATCTTCCTCTGTAAAACACACCAAATAATAATCGTAAATATAACTGGGATTTTTTCTATTTCCTTGTTTTATTTTTTTTTTTTGTAGGACAAACGTTTAACTCAGAGTTCAATTCCAAAGCTTTTTCTTTCGAGTACTTTTATTGGATTAGGCTTGATTTATAATTCCTATCTAACGTAAAAGCAGTTCAAATTAATAATATAATAGATTCTATACATTTACGAGCGGATCGGTAATAATTAATAATGAATAATGTTACTTTCAAGGGAAAAGGGTAGAAAGTAGATAGCTACACATAGAGACATATAGATGGATACATAGATAGGTGAATAGATAGAGATAAGAAAATGCAAAATTAATAGGAGAGAGATCATACGCGTATTCTGTTGAACTTTTTTTTTTTTATTCTGTAGACCTTTTTCCATCCACGCCGCATGAATGCGCATTGATCCTTCACCACGGACGAAGAGGGAATTTGTTACTCGTGTTTCTATGCGTGTGAATGCACGCATGTATGAGTGTGCACTAAGCTTTCGAGGAATTAAATTACAGGACATTCTTGGGCATTCTGATTTATTATGTACATACAAGTTGATTTACCGCATGGATACAGTCTGATTATTTTATATTAAACTTGACTGTAATGTTGATTAAACGATTCCGTGTTAGATTTTGATCGTATAATGTATTTGAAAATATATTTGGCACTTTTGAAAAGAAAAGTGGACTTCAAAGCTCTGTTCGATCAAAGTTCCGAACCATAATCAATGGTGTGGTCCTTATCGTATAACAAAGTGTACGTTCCCATTGTGCAACGACTACTTGATCGGTGAGCTTGATGAAGCCGAATATTATACCTTAGTCTTAGCCAAGGTGCGCATTATGTTTCCCAGTATTACCTGTTTCAAATCGCCTTTGGCCTGACCATTATGTCGCGAAATCGAGATTTGAGCGAATAACTATGACGACCCGTTATAACGATATCGAAACCTTTATTGTAATATATGTGTTATATGTTTAATAACGCTGGACAAACTACGGGCAATATACAATTTTACTACTATTTTATTTTGTTTAAATATTATTCTAAAAATATCCATAACTAATTATTATACAAAATGACAGAAACACTAAAAACAGATTTGATATCGAACAAATGTTTTCATATGAAAAGAACAGTTTTTATTAGTCTTTCACAGATGACATGAATGTATTTGTTTATTATTATATATATTCATATCCATTCAATGGCTTTCGTCAAAAGATTAAATAATATTTGAATATATCTATATAAATAAAAGCATGAAATAAACATCCATGATATCTCTTTTTCATAGCAGCTGAACAGAATTGTATGTCTCTTTTCTTCTCTTTTTATATTCATCGTAGATTTTGATGTGTTTCTCGATCGGAAAGGTGTGCTGGGGTTAAAAAAGTATTCGGTGTGTATTGTCCACTTTTAGAAAATCTTGGACGATGGAAACTGATCTTACCGAGTTTACGTACTACTAGTAGTAATAGTGGTAGTAACATTGCTGAAATATGATCCGTGATGTGGCATAGACTGCACTTTGTGGAAAGGACTCGAAAGAGAGAGCTTTGAGGAGAGCTTTCAAGAAAGAAAAAGAGAGAAAGACGCGTTAGTTTCATTACCGTTACACGAACGAATCGAATTACATTAACACGATACTTTTATTAATTTGGATTATAACCGTACTCGACATTTTATTATTATTTTTTTTTCTTTTCTTTTTCTCTCTCTCTCTCTCTCTCTCTCTCTCTCATTTTTCTCTCACCAGCCACGAGTTTTTTCCGACTCTTCAAAGCTTTCATATATCTCGCGTCTCGAGTTTCACGTTGAAGGGAAGTCAAGATAAAGAGAGAATAGCGAAGTAAGTCTGTAAATCAGTCTGCGTAGCAATTTTTCTAATTTAAGAGATGCCATTTTCGTTTGGCAATTTTCATTTAACATATGTCTATGTATTTATAACGCAACAGTGAAATTATTTAACCGCCCTATTCCTTTTTGTTTAAATAAAAACACAATGCAATTTTTGTTCCCTTCTTTTCGTTGAAAAGTAAGTTTGTACTTTCGTCGTCTTCCATCATTCACTTTTACGCGTGAAGAAAATGTTTGTCACGAGTTTTGGGATATTGGCGTTGAACGACGTTACGGAAATGGCTTTAAGGCATTCGCCACGATTTATGAAAGTTCCTTTTCTATTGCTTTTCTTCTCTTTCTCTTTCTCTTTCTCGTTGTAACGAGGAAACGTACTTACTTACTTACTTACTTACGCGTATCGATCTGCTTTTCTTGCACGAGACTTCTCGAATCGTGTTTAATAAGATTATACTGCTAGATAAGTTTGATAAGATGATGCTACCCAATAAGAGACGCGATTAAAATTGAATCGTTAATCGGTAGCTTAGTTGACGTTGATCATCAAAGAAAAAACAAGTTTCTTCAAGGGCTAGAAATTCTGGAGTTTTCTCGAAGACGGATAAAATGATGTTTGAAAGATCGGAAAAGTAAAAATATGATCTATTTAAAAAACAAGATATGCCTGTCGTATTGAACTTTATCGACTGGGAGGGGGGGGGGTGGATGAAAAAGAAAGTTTATTCGAAAGGAGTCGAGTAAAGTGTAGAAAAAGCAGAGAAAAAAGGATGAAAGGGAAGGAAGGAAGACTCGAGTAAAACGATGAATAAACGAACGAACGAACGAACGAACGAACGAATGAATGAATGAAGAATGAATGAATGAAAGAAAGAAAGAAAGAAAGAAAAGGAAAGAAAGATAAAATGGGTACTTATACGAAGCGATATAAAAACGAACGCTTTTACCTCTCGCCTTTAGAACATTTCCGTAGCGAGTACTCAATGACACCTATTTTTTTTCCTCCTTCATGTAATCCAATACTCTTTTAACTCTCTTCCTTTTTCTCCTACTCTTTCTCCTACTCTTTATTCCTCTGTATATATATTTTTTGTTTCTTTTCCTTTTTAACATTTTGCACCACTAATTAAAGCTACGATTAATTAACGAATGACGAGAGAGATGGGTAAAGGATCCTCTTGGAAGTAGACTCGAGTACGTACTGTAGTTGTTCGTTTTATTAATAATTTTATGTTTCAATGTGTGACAGGATAGCGTGATATTACACGTTGGACATAATTGCAAATACTGATAGTGGTTTGAAAGTAGATCGGATAATTCTCTATGATGTCTCTTCTTCCGTAAAATCACATGATTCTCTCAATCGGTCGTTAAGGTTTCTCGCAAACTTTCAGTTTTACTGAAGTTTCTGATGTTTACCATACCATGTATGTAGATTATTTGAATGTAAAGAGACGGGAACTAGCTTATGCATAGTTCAAAAGTCACGCTTGAGTTAGACGACGAATTGGCGATATGCTTGTAAGGGAGAGAGAGAGAGAGAGAGAGAGAGAGACCGACCACTTTATCAGAGAGATTCATGCGTAAATAATGTCCTGGACATTTCTCATACGACCGTAAATAACATTAATCCAACTAAATTTCATACTAAGATATATATATATATATAATATTGAAGAAAAATTGACGGCAACGGGGGGGGGGGGAGAAAAAGCATTAATGGAATTAAAAAGGAAGCAAATAGAAATGGAAAATAAATGGAAATAATAGTTAAAACTCACCGGAAAATAGCTCGAGAAATTCTTCAACTCCGTAATTACCCGTAAATCTATACGATGGATCTTGCAATGCTTCCTCTCCGTGTACTTTCACGCGTTTAATCATAAAACTGATGTTGTCCGGTTGTCCATCCTGATTAAAATCTGTAAAGAATTTTTCATTATATTTTGTCTTTTACTTACACATACACACACACACACACACACACACACACACAAAATGACATTAGCGTTTTTAATTATTGTCTCTTCTTCGTATAAAATAATGAAATGTAATACAATGGGAAAATAATTAAATTTTCTTTATCTTTACGAATTTAATCTTCATATTTTTACAAATCGACAGTTAGATAGTGGAATTTATTTATTAAAAAAATAAGGAAACGTTGAGGAAAAAAGTATTTATTATTTCTCTTCTTTAACTATTATTATTATTATTATTACCAACCTTCTCTCTTTTTCTCTCAAGAGAAATACACTTTGGCGCGGTGTGCAAGGGTGAGATTAAAAATAAAACAATTGAAAATTGCCAGACTCTACGCGCGATGTTCATTGTTTCTCAAACGTGACGCCTTATTCTTCCTTGTGTTGTTTTATTGAACCCCCTTTTTCGTTCGTATCCCTCTGTTACTTTCTTTTCCTCTTTTTAAACATGTGAATGGCATTCGTCGGAGCGATCAGTAGTCGTAGCGTATGCGGAAGGAAGAAAAGAAATGTTCAAGAGAAAAAACATTTTACTCCGTTCATTTTATCGAACGAAAAACATCGTTCGCATTGTTCGCAAACGATTGGTATGAGTATACAATATGTCTATATGTGTGTGTGAGTGTTGAGTGTAGTGTGGTGTCATGGATAGGAAGTGGTAGGTATGTGCTTATCGAACGTCGAAAAATAGAGGTTCGTTGTTGGCCGATGAACCGTGCGATTATTGTACTGGCTTGGTAATTCTTTTTCAACCCCTTTCCTAAAGAGAAAAAGAGAGAAAGATAGATAGAGATGTGTTACACAAAAGGCAACGATAAAATCCTATAGCTTTCGAATACGCATCTCAATCGTGGAAACGAATTGATTGGCTCGACCGGCAATGTTAGTTATCATCAAATATTTGAGCAAGACATAAAAGAAAAAAAAAAAAGAAAAGAAGAGAAAAATATCGATCGCATTTTTTTACAAAATATATTAACTTTTTTAATAATGAAAGTGCACGTAATTTACTAGGAAGAAAATCAACGAGAATTCTCTAGCATTTCCTATTTCTTTCTTTCTCTCTCGGTTTCTACATAAATTTAAAGTTGACATCCGATAAGAAGAGAGAGAGAGAGAGAGAGAGAGGTAGAGGTAGATGGAAGAACAGAAAATCGAGGCGAATAATTTTGGGGAAACCAGTCTTGCTTCCTTCGAGCCAACCAACCAACCAACCAAGCAACCAACCAGCCAACCAAGCAACCAACCGACGAACCAACTAACCAGCCAACCAGCTAACGTGGGCTGCTGGTTGGTATATCTTTTCGAGAGGATGGCACTTCGCGTGGCGAGAAGCATTTAATCAGACCTTCTCCAACCCTTGCTTCGAAGAAATACAAATCGAAAATGGAAAAACGGTCAGACGTCACGCGAGAATCTCTCTTTGGTTTCCACCGAAAATCAACGAGGATGGTGAGAGAAAGAGAAAGAGTTGAAAGGATCAGGGAGAGGGGGAGGATGAGGGGGAGGATGAGGGTGAGGGAAGGTGGGGTGGGGCCAAGAGGATGTACGCTCCGAAAAGCGATTATTATCCTGACTCTTTCGTTTCCACTCTCTCTTTCTCCTTTTCTCTTGCTTGCCTTGGCTTTTAACCAACTCGATTTCTTTTCAAGAAGAATATTCTTTTTCATTGGAAATTTCTCTGATCTTTTTTTGTCTTTTCTTTTTTTTTTTTTATTACAATCATTTTGATTAAAGACGATAAGTCATTTGGAGAATATATGAAATTTGATTGAAAAAAAAAAAACTCCTTTTTTGTATTGCATTATATTATACCAAGCTTAATTAAATATTACGTTAGAGTAAAAATAAACTGATAAATTCATTACTGATAAAATGCAATTTTGTTGGAAAAGAAGCGAACTATTCCAAAGTAATTTGCCGAAACGAATCACGCGATATCTTGGTTATTCTAGCAAGAGATGGGTTTCGCGTTTCACCCCGTTCCCATCCATTTCTCCTCTTTCGTAGATCTTGGAAAGCGTTATGCGACCTATCAACGACAACGATGACGACGTCGACGACGACGACGACGACGCCTTCCTAATTAGTGCCTAAGTCCATCGTTCTCTGCTAACTCGATGTATGTAATATTAATCAGCTTTGCTTCCTTAGTTTGGAGAAGGAAGGAATCTTTGGAAAGAGGGTGCGTTGTTTAAAAAAAAAAAAAGAAAAACCCTAAGAAACTATAATGTTTCATCTTCCCTCCTTGTTATAATTTCAACCTAATTTATTTTCTCATTTCGTTGAGATGTCGATCATTAATTAAATCGTCTTCCTTATTCCTATCTCTTTACTCACATATCTCATTTCCTGACATAACTTACGAATATCGATTCTACCTCGAAAGGTCCTACCATGCACTTTACGATCGTAAACTCTCTCTCTCTCTCTCTCTCTCTCTCTTTCTCTCTCTCTTTCGTAATAGACCACAAATTCCTAAGGGATGAATTACGAATTTCGATTAAACCTTCGAATATTTCTTCAACGGTTCTTCCAACAACGATAATATTAATAAGTATGCATATTAAGTATCAAATGTTATCAATGAAATAAGCATATCTATAGGGCCATTATTAAAATGTTTATACCTAGTATTTCATGAATTAGGTATTATAAATTATACGATTTAACACCGAGAGGTATATATACATATATATGTGAAGTCATATTCATTAGTGATAACACTGATATCTTTGCTTAGCCAGAGGAACATTAAAGCACTCATACATATTCATATAGCACGTTAGTCAAAATATAATATATTACATAGGCGTAAGAAGTAATGGATAAAAGGGTGTAATAATTCAACGATTCTGAGGGAGAAGGGAAAACGATAATCGGTGCGACTATCGTCGTTTAGTAATCTCGGTTGGCGCCGCCGGCATATTCGTTAGAAGCCCGGAAACTTTGGCGGAAAACGAGCTTTATCCTTGGCGATCGCACGACGGAAGGAACTAAAGAGAAATAGAAAGAGAAAGAGAGAAGAAGATAGAGAATTGTAAGTAATGCACTAGCCTTGCCGCACGACGACTACGACTACGACGACTACGACGACGACGACGACGACTACGACGACGACGACGACGTCGACGACGACGACGGTACGTGCGGTCACGCCACGTTAAACACGTCTCAGTCACGAGATGCAAATATTTGCCGTTGTTACTGCAGGTGGTGCGCAGTGTTCAACCGTTCTGTCCTATCTGCGAATATACAACGCGCTACATACCCAAATCAGTCCATTTTATTCTTATCTAATTTTCATAAGAAACATTTTTTAATAAATTGACTTTACGAAAGAGTTGGCAGTCGAATTATATAATGTATTATTTGAAGTTATTATAAAACGAATAGAAAAATCCTACAAAGTCAATGGGCAAAGTAATTAATGATATTTTACAAAGGATAACGATTATATATTATACAAATGTCATTACAGTTAGAAAGAGATCGAGCAGGGGCGGTGGACGCGCGAAAGACAGAAAAATGAGTAGAAAGAAAGAAAGAAAGAAAGAAAGGGAGAGATCGTGGCGATGGAAAGTGTGGAACATTCATTTCCTTCGATATACCGTCGATCGCCGAAAGCAGAAAGTTAGTTTAACTGGGAGGGCCCCGTCGAAAGTTTTAATTGGTTTGCGAAGTTATTACGTTTGGAATGAGACAGAAGACGCGCACTTGTTAGGTCCACCGAAGAAACTCGCATTGACTTCGATGGTGAGAGTGAAGGACGGACGAAGTAAACTTTTCGATTCGTTTTCTCTTCTATCTTATTGTCAGCTGCGTTGGCAAATAATGCGTTCTCTTATTTACGACGACTAGTACGATTAAACTTCTATTCGTTAAAATCAAATAAAAGAGAGAGGGCAAGAGAGAGAGAGAGAGAGAGAGAGAGAGAGAGAGAAGATATTACATTATAATAAATTGTTACTTGTCGATTCAAATAAATGTTTATTCATTTAAATTCATTGATCATTGAAAGTACGCTTTTAAATGAATATTGTGTTGATATAAACTAAAGTTGCAACGTGCATTATTTCGTAGATAATTTTTTTCCCCTATAAATATGTGTGATTTTGATTAGTTCATTACCTGTGTGTCTGTAAATGGAGTTAACACGTTGAACGTGACGAGTCATAACTTCGATGCACGCTTCTTCCGATTTGTAATGTTCGAAGAACGTGTGATCTGCTTGCAGGTACAGCATACAGGTTGTCTTTTTCGGATCGATCCATTTCTTTCTTCGTAAGATCTTTTCATATCTTTCTCTGTACAATCTAAAGCAACAGAGATAAGAAGAAATAGGATAAGAAAAGTTCATCTTTCGTCCCTTTAATAAAAGAAGAAATTCCAAACGCGAACTCTTTTAATATAAATTCATCGTGCAGCTCGAGCAAGTTATTCGGGCAATGATTTTCGTTTCTCTTTTTTCATCTTCCGGTAGGACAAAGGAATCATAAATGCCGGAAGTTTAATTTGCCAAGAAGACTAGTGAGAAATACCAAGTCGACTGTGTGCTTAGAAAGAAAGAAAGAAAGAAAGGAAGAAAGAGAGGAAGGAAGGAAGGAAGGAAGGAAGGAAGGAAGGAAGAAAGAAAAGAAGAATGAATGAGAGTTAATTGTCGTCGTACACGATTTTAAGATGAAAATTTGTGATCTCTAAAGTAGTTCGCGATGATGTTATTAAAATATCTAGTATTTATACTAAAATATTATGATACGATATCTTGCAATGATTTATATCTATGTTTTCGTTAGAAGTGAAAAAGGGATGATAAAATTGGAAGATTTTCTTCAAGGTTGAAATCGATGAACCTGTCGGAAGCACTCATTCTCGATCTTTCGATATCTCGATCTCTCGACATCGGGTTTACTTTCTTGTTGACGGGATACACGATAGCTCGGCTTCTTTTTCCTTGTCGGAAGCTAGTGGGACGTTTAAAATGAAAGAGGCAAGGATCTTGAAGTAAACATAGCGAAGAGTCGACAGGCAGGTAAGTAACCATCGTACTTTTTCCTCTCGTATTTTTATCGTGTCGAGATATCGAGAAAGAGAGAAAGAGAAAGAGAAAGAGAAAGAGAAAGAGAAAGAGAGAGTCTCATTCATTGAATCATTCGATAAAATGGGGATGAATGAAGTACGAGAAAAACAAAGTTAAATTGATCGACCATATATTAACACAAATTTGCTCTCTCTCTCTCTCTCTCTCTCTGTCGCGTGTTTTATAAAGATACTCGAATAATAAATGGGTTTTAAGTGAAGCGACACAATGAATATTTTCATCATATTATAAACTAACATTTGATTTCATTGATAATGGAATTTGAAACTTGAATGGAACATATTTGATGATCGTATATAAAGTAAAACTCATTATATAGAAATATAGGATAGGATTGAAATCATTTGTATCTAACTATATACCTAAATAGGATCGTATCGATCAAAGTATAGAGTACTAGTACATATAAGAAAGACGAGATGCTTACTTGTCTATAAGCTCGAGATTATGAGAGAACGCCATGGGGTCCTTTTTCCTCGCATCCATTGGATAGAATCCTGGCTTCGCACGATTCGTCCCTTCATTTACGTGTTGATAAAACGGGCGCATTGTGCCACCAGCAAGAAGATATCCGTTCCTTCCAGTCTCGTTGTTGTTCCTGCGAACGGTATTTCTCGGGTGAGGGAGAAAAATTGTTCAACGTTACCAGGTAAACGATAACCTTAGTTCTTTGATAAATTCTCTCCTCTGTGTCGTATTATTTGTCCAAAGAGTATTATATTTTCTTAGTGTTGTGTATAATGCACACACACACACACACACACACACAAGTCATAAAAGTATTCTTACCTGCCTCCCATCATTAATTTAACATTGAAATGAATTATTAGAAGGATTTTCTGTTACGATCATCGGCTCTTGAAATCGCGAAGAAACGATCGCTTCGAAAGGGATGAAAAACAAGCTTGTGAAAGAAAAGACTTTGTATATTTTTGTATCTTGAAACAATTGAACGTTCGTTTCGCGAGAAAGAAATTAAAAGATGGACTTGAGACAAGAAAATCTTTGTAATATTTTAAAGCGACCGCGATTGTGTCTCGGTAAAGTTGATGGAAGGGGGAAAAGAAAAAGAGATAGAGATATATTTAAACGCGAAGTGGTTGAGATGAACTGGCATTGTCCGACTGCTTGGCGAAGCTCTCCAGAGGGGTCTCTCGCAAATTACTTCCTTGCGAAGTAGGTAAAATAATTACTACCTGGAATGCTACGTAAATTGGTAGGAAGAATAATTAAGGTTCCCTTTAACCCTTTATGTCTCGCCAAATTCTCCTTTTATTTCTTTTATATAAAACGATATTCATCTCGGGGGAGGATACACTGTACAGCTAGTGCTGGTGTTGGTGTTGGTGTTGGTGTTGATATTGCTATTGCTACTCCCCACACCCTCTCCTGTGGGAGGACGTCACTTTGCGAGCAAATAATTTCATCATAGAACGATGCTATGGAAATATTAAAAAAAAGAAAAAAAGACAAGTAAAACACGAAAGAGAGAGAGAAAATATATTTTTGATATTTCATATGAAATATCATTGTTTTTCCAATGATTTTCAAGTGGAATAATTAAAACGCGTTACGTAACACATCGTCGATCTTTACATATATGTCACGTTTGATATTACGCAGATATAAAGAGAGAAAGAGGAGCTTTTGATCATATTAAATCGAACGACGTCAAGAACGATTTCGGGGAAAGCTGCGAAGGTCAGATAGTAATATTCGAAGATCGCGTCAAGTTTCGTCGTTTCAGCAGAGCCATAAAGGGTTAAATTTTCCGTTGGTGACACATTCGAGATTCAGAGGATGACGTTGGTGGAAGTTTCGAAGGTGAAGTCGAGCCACGTTAAAGAGAGAGAGAGAGAGAGAGAGAGAGAGAGAGAGAGAGTATAGAAAGTTCGCGATCGTAAACAGAGCTCGTATTTCACACACACGAGTGCGATTCGATCAACGAGTAACATCGTTCCCTGGTCTCTGACTTGATCGATAAACTCATGGATAGTAATGGTGGGAAAGATAGTGGTGGTAGATGGTGTAACACAGTTGGTATATTGGTATTGGTGATGCGTGGACACAATGCGGTATGCGAACAAAATGTTTATCACAAGGTACTGTCGGGACTAATTAGAACACAGGGTGCATCAGCTCAAAAGTCTTCGCTCGCGTTGCAAGCTGCGTTCGCGAGTCACGTTATCATTAATCGATGTGGCCAGACCACCCTGCCAATTAACCTTCTACACGTTCTCTAATTAGTGGTCTTCGAAAGACGGAAAGACCGACTAGAGAGAGATAGAGAGAGAAAAGACTAGTCTCGCAACGTGTCGTGCAACGTTGGAAAATCGTACGAAAGGGTATTTGCTTTCTCGTGGGAACGCCAACGTCCCTCTTTATTTCACGAAAGAACGAGTCGTTAGCGATTATTATTTCGAAATTCTCGTGAAAACTCATATGTATATATATATATATATGAAAAGAGGGAGAGAGAGAGAGAGAAATATATATGCATTTACATAGGTATATCTGGCTTGCCTTTGTTGGACACACGATATGTAGAGATCGATTCGTTTAATTAACATCTCTCGACAGGACGAGAAGAGTCGGTCGGAAGCAACTTAATCAAATAATTGCTGAAACGCGTTACGTTTTATCCGTCTACGATGACTTCGTTTACGTTATGCGCTGGTTTTAGCATTAATCTGAATTATCCTCTTGCCAAAGTGCTTTCTCCTATATGCATACATATATGTACATACATATACAAAAGTATGATTCTCTTTTTATACCGAAAAATAACGAATTTTACGGTTATAGCATCATATTAATTACTTTACCGTGACGTAATGAAATAGAGTTTATTAGTACGAAATGCTTGTATTTTCATTAACCTTACGAACCTCTCAACGTTTTCTTTCTTTTTATTAGTTTAACGTTACTGCTCTACAAACGTATGTACACATACACATGCATAAGGAATTAATTTCTTTGTTATTCGAGTAAACAACTGTGAGATAACACGAAGCATTGGATTTATTTACACTTCGCGGACATAGGACGAACGAATAGACCCGAACGACACAACCGAGTGTCAGTGTTGTTTTCAATCGCGAAATGGAAGGATCGTAATTCTGTCTACGAGTCTCGTGAACAATTTTCAAGTAAGTGTTATTAGTATTGCTAATAATTATTGATCATTATCGTTTCTTTTTCCTTTATTTTCGACAAGTACAGAAATATATAATATGTGTGGATATTATTTTACCGTTAATATTACGTATGTTATCGTGTATTATTTTATGACATATATTATGTTACACGTTATGTACCTACCGTTATCTATTAATGATCACCATCATTCATTAACGAATTTATATTTTATTATTAATCAATCTTTTAATTGTTATATTACGATGAAAACGAATTTTTAATTTCTCAAATGCACTCGTAATATGTAAAATTAATTTTTATCTTCATCAGACCATTTAAATATAGTTAATTTTATCAAGTGAAATATTTCGGTTATTTTTAATTGTTATGAATAAAATTTTGCTGCAAACGAAAGGTCGCTCTATTACAAGAGGGGGGCACATTAAACTATGAAAAGAATTTTTGTCTGTAATTAATTTGAAAATTTCGTTAGAAGAACATATTTTTTTTTATATTATAAATACTTTTGGATATAATATTTAAATGAAATAAGTTTAGCAAATATTTGGAAAAGATTGTAAATGTTCTCTCACCTGAATAGATTTCGACCGGTTCGATGAAAAAGTTCCTCGCTTGCACAGGATTGAGTTGGTAAGACAGAAATATCTTTCGAACGATAAGCGATGGTATGATGATGACGTAAATCATCGGATTGATTTCCGCATCGATAATCGTTTTCGGAATGAAGTCGATGACAATTGACGGATGAAGAGGAATATCTGTTAGCCGGTTCGATGTAAATCTCATCGGAAGCCGTGAAGATAGTTCCATCGAAAAGACCCTCGGAAGTGACCATACCGTGAACCAAAGAATTTTCGTCGTCTGTAAAAATAAACAAAAAAACAACAAATGGAAATATAAGCAATATCTGGCAAAACGATTTCTTCAATTTTACGCGCTATTTGGTTCTCATCTGTTTCCTAACTTTTGCATCTCTCGTCGTCTTTATTTTAGCTTTTTCTACGAAAGCGTTTGGCATATCATATCCCGCGATTTGCAGAATGTGCGAATATCGAAGAGAGATTCACGGTTATATTCCCTTCGAGCTGTATTGCTTGCTGAAATCGCTTACTTGTTTTATATGCCAGCTCGTATGTGTTGAAAGGTGAGAAGGAATAACGTTCTTCTGAATTGTACGATGTGAAATGTACGATCAAAATCATAGAAATGGGGAAGAAAGAAAATATTATCTTACTAATGTTTTTTAAAGCCGTTCCAAATATTCTTCATTCGGATCGATTAACTTCTTTTCAACGCGATCAAATCATTTTTTTATTTAAATGTTTCTAAATTCGTCCTAAACGCGTCATCGAATAAAATTGCATTAACTGTCGGCGCGGAAAATCTAAGACACAGAGATAGGTAGAATAAAATGTAAAATATCTTTCTTAAGACGTATTGAGAAGGAAAAGTGCGGTAGGAAAAAGAAGAACTTACTCGTCTGACGTTTTTCTTCCCACGAACACGTACTACCTTCCTCATTCTGGACAAAGGGAATACGAAAGTAAGTTCGTGCCAGTGCAGCGAACTGCTTGTTAATTCACCACCGATAACGTTGCACGTGGACTCCTATACGCGATAACGCGTCTTCAAGTAAGGAAACAAACACGTTCCCTACACTATCATGTACTTTTACGAAGCTTTAACTGAACCTATCATTTTCAAAATTAACCTTCATTATATAAATAGTATAATTTAAACTTTTTCTATTTAAATGCAGAATTGTAGATATAATATTATCGTCATATCAATTGAAAGGGTTAAACCAAAATCGTTCCTTCGTGTTTTGAAAAGAAAAGGGGGAGGGCGGAAAAAAAAGAATTAAAGCGTCCATTAGATAAAGAACAAGACAAAGAACAATATCTTTTTATAGGTTTGGAAAGGGATTGCTCCTAAGAGACAGAAGTTCCTCGTTGTAAATCACTCGGTCGATCGACCCCACCAAGGTTTATCCATTTTCTGAGGCCGCAGACGTAGAAAGGATATGGGAGAGAGCCACTCCTGACATCGTTCCAATCCTGATCTTCTTCTTTCCTTTTCTACCAAACCCCCTCCATCCTTTATCCCTCCATCTCTTACGCGGTCCTACGTCGAAGGCTTCATCCCTTACGGAATTTATGTGTGGAACGACGTAGAAATTTTGAGAAAATTCCCAGGGCGTAGGTCCTACGCCCTCGGGACACGTACCCTTTTTCCATTCCCCGTTCCTTACCCTCGCGAATCCCTTTAGTTACCTTCGCTGACGACCTTCACGATTGATATACAAGCGAATTTAACCGGAATGCGAATGAGAATATCAGATAGATAGATACCGTTTTTTAGATTATTATCTAGATTAGTTTTCTCGATTTGATTAGATCATCTCGAAAGGTTTTATTTAACTAAATGCAACGAAATAAATGTCATTCCATATTATAATATAACAAATATTATTTTTATCGCAAGAAAACACACGATATTATTCGGAATTTGTTATTACGAAAGTCATATTTCTTTGAAATCGTATATGCATACATACATACATATATATCGCATTTTCTGCGTATGTGTGTGTAGATCTTAGAAAAAGTGGATATCTGGTTTGTAAAGTGACGGAGAGTGTGGCATATAAGAGAATAACACATCCCTGCAGGCCAGCATTTCACAATTTTCTATATTTTCTCCTTCTTTCTCACCTTTCCATTATTTCTCTTCACACCGACGCGACGTCTCTTTTTATTTCCTACATCGTTCTTTCTATGCTTCCCTCTTCTCTCCTGTTTGTCTTTGTTTCTCTCGTATGTTACTTTCTTCATTTCATCCGGTTCTTACTATTCGCAAGCGTAAGCTTCTTTGTTTATTTGCGTAAAAGCCACTCTCGAAAGTATGTACACGGATCGAGATTTTTCTTTTCCTTTTTTATTCTTTAATGTTTCTTTTCTTTATACCTCGTACACTCGAAAGGATTCGTCTTCTTACTCGATCTCCATTACTTTTCTATAGTATTTTAAAGTAAAATTAATATCCGAAGAAATCTTATGGGAACGAAACGTTTTCCTTCATTCTCATTTTATTTCTGAAAACTACTTTGCGTCAGTTTCATTTTATTCGTTGAAATGAAAGCAGACAATATGAAATATTAAATACAGACCAATTCATAAGTCAATTGACATTAACAATTATTCAACTTTTTTATTAATTTGTATTTACATCCGTATGGTTGAACGTGTAAAAAATGAAATCTGATTACTTTAATAATACATTTGTATCGATTGGTTTATAAGCCAATTCGTAGAATATTTGATTCCAAGAGTAAACTGCTTTAGCGTAAAAAAAAAAAAAAAAATAAAATACTTGTGTAGTAAGAAAAAGACGAAGGAAAAAGAAACCTTGTATCCGTTATCATGGTTCATGGGTCGTGAAGTCAAAAAATGAGCTCTCCGCGTCCTGTTGAAACTTTCTAGAGAGAGAGAGAGAGAGAGAGGGAGAAATCGGGTATGTGTTGGTTCTCGTGAAAAATACTCTCGGAGAAATCTCTTGGTTCGTTCGTGTTTCGTTCGTGTTTCGTTCGTGCTTGGTTCAATACATACATCTTTTTCATGGATCGTTTGGTGAAAATCGGCTTCGTTCATCCGTCGAAAGCACGCGTTCGGAGACGAAAGAGAAAAAGAGAGAGAGAGAGAGAGAGAAGAGAAAGTATGCAGCTTTACTTAAAACGAGGTAGAGCAATTTTGTATTCCTGGAGATGAAAGATTGATAGACGACGATGGTGTTGGTGCTTGTAGAATAAGATCGAAGTCAAGGTGTAATGATAACATTCACCGGAGAATATTTATTAGCGGCCAACAGAGAAAAATAGAGAAAATAAGAGAGAAAACTTTTGCTTTCCCTTTAGAATTTCTTACAAGTTGTTACTTATTCTAAAAAAAAACGAAGGAAGGAAGGAAGGAAGGAAGGAAGGTAGGAAGCAAGTAAGCTTTTAATACGAAGTTTTTCTTACCAGCAGAACCATACAGAAACCACATTTTAAATAGCGTTTTAATAAAACTTTATATTTTCGTCATTTTCTCATCGAGGATTACCGTGAAAACCCATTAATCGATTGTCGCATTTCTCTGTTCGACGGAAAGGATGAATATGTTTGACAAAAATTGCAATTTGTCGATACGCCATACGCATACGTTTGCCCCTTGTTTCGCCGTTGTTGGCGAATCGAATTTTTTTCCTTTTTTTTTTATTCTCTCTTTTTCTGTCTCCCCCTCGCGCTTTTTCAATTCATTCATTTTTCTCCGGAAGTTGTTGCAAATTTTTTAGACAACGTCCTCTCTTTCTATACGCGTACAACGAACGAGGTACCATTAACGTAAATCAATAACGGAATTGAGGTTAATATATTCAACGATGGACAGTTCAAGCTCTAGCTCTCTCTCTCTTTCTCTCTCTCTCTTTTTCTCTTACAAGTACACACATACATAGAAATACGTGCACACATTTGCCAGAGGATCAAGAGATGAAAAAGAAAAAAAAAAAATACGTAGTTTGCGCGCAAATGCACGTCACGTGACATGCGCAAAGGTATTAACGACGGGATGGTTTAATTCGTGGAATGATCGGAAACGAAAATCAGTATCATTAATTCGTAAGCCACGCACAGGATACACATTCAGAGGGAGGGAGGGAGGGGGAGGGAGAGGGAGAGAGAGAAGATAGAAATACGTGCAGGCCTGTTCGTCCCATCTCTATTTAATTCGGCTCGATAAATTACCGCAGAGTGCTGCTAATTACCCACTAATAATACTCACAAATTACTGATTTACGTTCTTACGATAAAACTCGATCATTAAAATAGAGTGAATCGTTCGATCGATAGCAATTTCATCATATTCTCAATTTTTTCCTTAATTTTGATCAAATTTTCACGATGAATTTCATTCTAGTTATAATTTTATACTATAATAATCATCATCTTCATCATCTTTGAAATTTTTCTTTCGTCTTGGGTAAATTAGCTGTCGCCACGAACATTAATTAATGTCAAACAGTCAGCGATCATCAATATTTATTATCAGACGAAATACGTTTATGGTACGAAACGTCCTGACAAACCTCGCTAAGGTAAATACCTGCAAATTCATTCAATTTAATTGCAAGCCATCGAATTATCGCTAATTATCCGTTCCCGCGGCAAGGTGGATATCGTGAATTTAGCAAGGTTTTAACGCTCGGGGAAGCGTAACCAGCACGAAAAAGCGACCACGATTGAAGCAGCGGAACCGATTCCTTTTGCCAAGAGGGAGAGAGTCATGTACACACTTGCCTCCTCACCCTCTCTTCTTCGAATATTCCCAAAGCGAGTTCTTTCACTTTCTCCTCCCTATCAGTCATCAAGCAACATCCGTGAAGAAGAGAAAACTTCATAATCTCATTGACGTGTAGCTGGTATTTATTTGTAGTAGTCGCATTGGGAATGGGTTTTGCGTTCGATGCTTATGTTAGTTGCAACTATGTGGACGAAAGAGATATACAACTACGTGTATGTGTATATAGTTATAGATAGATAGATAGATAGATAGATGGATAGATAGATGGATAGATAGAAAGAGGGAGAGAGGCCGAGTGCAGTGTATTCTGTCGGGATTGGTGGTTACGAAAATTAATGCTGATGGCAGGAGCGGCCGTTATTTGGCGCCGGTTTAAGCGGTAAAACCTCGCAATCAACGCCGGTGATTGATGCGGATCTCCTCTCTTTCTCTCTCATTCACTCTTGCATCGTCAGTTACTCTTTGTCCTCCTCTCTATGTATATACTCTGCATATATTTGCCTATATATATATATATATATA